TGCAGAAAAAGGGCTTAATAACTGTGAGTTGTTAGTATAATTAGTTAGTAGGTTAATACTTAATAGTGTTAATGTTGAGATTCAGTTTGAGTGTTACCTCATTATGAAGTCTTTGTGGTCCTCCCTACTACCACCCCATTATTGACAGTAATTATTCTTTCCCATCCGCCCCTACACTACTTCCTTTACATGGCTCTTACACTTCATTCTGTCCGCATTGCAGGTAACTGGACTGCACGTCTCTCTAACTGACTACGTTTGCTCAGGATCCATTCATTCAGAGAAAGCACTTACTATGAGTCAAGCATTTGGCACAAAGGAGACTAAAATGTGGCCCCTCCTTAGGGCATTCTCAGATTGCTTTGCAAACTAATGGTTCACATAGGCCCTAATACCTTTTTGTTGACTTGTGACAAATACATTCTGCCCTAGGAGGGTCATCTACCTCCAGGCTAAAAGGAATCACAGTGTGTTAAGGTTAGAAACTTGTGGCGAGCCGTCCTTAGTACTGACCTCTGCCTAGTCCTAGTAAAGAGCCCAGCTTTGGGTTAGCTCCCTACTGTAACAGCGCTGGGACTCCATGGCCTACAACAGCACATTGTGAGTCTTGTTTCAGGGCAGACAATATTTTAATCTGGTTCAATAAGTCTCTTCTGTTCAAATGAAGACACAGCACTTTTAGGGAGGGGGTTTCAGGAGTTATATGGGATTGTCTTTGATGGCTCAGAAACTGCTCATTCTGTTTCCAAACCTGTGTCTGGCAATCTTACCTCCACACATATTGATTTCCTCTTGGATATGTTTTATAACACTTATGTATCAGCCCCTGTGCTAACCACTGCTGTTGGAGAAGGGTGGCACTGAATTCCCCAGCAGCCGGGAGCTTATAGTTTCTAGCCTGGAGCAGATGTTAGAAGCATAGACCTGTTTCCTGACCTCCTTACCCATCATACTTTGCTAGACAAGCTGGATAGGATGTCAGAAATTTGTGGGCACAAGATTGAATAATAGAGAAAGGGAAGAAGGAAGTGCAAGTTTCTTTTTAAAAACATTTATTTTGATATTTAATATCAATATTCACTAATGATATATCACTTAGCTTGAAAAGTGAATTTACCCAACATCTCGTACCAGTCCAGTTGAGGATTCTATGCACACTATCATAAACAGACAACAGTCCATTTCTGTATCTCATAACTACTTTGTTTCTCTATTTTTCTCCTTAATTTCTTCCCTGACACTCTTCTACTTCTCCCACCCTCTTTCCACACTGTCTCCAGTATCTATAACCATTTTCTATGCTTTTATAAGTTTCTGTGAAGATGTTCAGCTATGAAAGTATGAAAGAGAGGATAATGACAAGGAACTATGAGGGAAGCTAAACCAACAAGAAGTCTTTTTGTTTTTATTTTTTGTTTCTGTTTTTGCTTTTGTTTTTCTATAGGGAGCATGCCAGAGAGAGAGACAAAGTGAGAAATCAACCCCTGGGGAGATGGCCACAATTCCTTCTCCATTTTCCTCTTGGGATTTTGAACACACACACACACACACACACACACACACTCACACACACTCACACATGCACCTACATGATTTTCAAGCTACAAGGTAGGTCCAGGACTTGAACTACAAAGCCGGCCATGTGGGATCCAGTTACCTTAATCTCCGTGCCACCTGCTAGCCCCCAACAAGAAATTAAGGGTGGGGGCAACTAAGTAAGTTTATAGTAGATGAGTATCAGATAAGGCCAGCAGATTGAAAAGTAGATAGATAGAGAAAGTGATTAGGAAATAATGATAAATGTTTGAGAAAGAAAAATAGATACACATATACATACATACATACATACATACATATGAGGAAACTTAAATCTGTGGAGAAATTGAATTAATGTATGAGAATATTTTGATGCAATACAGTTTCGAAATTAATTCAGTTATTTTCAAAACATGTGTTTTCATTAACTTTTTAAAGATCTCATATACATGTGTATATTCAGACATGTATGTGTGTACATAAACATGTGTATACTTGTATGGGGGAAGAAGGTGATGAAAAAGAGACTGAGCAAAGGTTTGAGAGCAAGAATTATGCATATATAATCTCTATTTTATATATATATATATATATATATACACCTACATATATATATCTACATACATATTGTCTATCCATCTATTCATCTACCTATTTAGAGAGATCAGCGACATAGCCATTACGCTAACTGCTGGTTCCCAACTTTTTAAAGATCTCATATACATGTGTATATTCAGACATGTATGTGTGTACATAAACATGTGTATACTTGCATGGGGGAAGAAGGTGGTGAAAAAGAGACTGAGCAAAGGTTTGAGAGCAAGAATTATGCATATATAATCTCTATTTTATATATATATATATATATATAGAGAAAGAAAGTCAGAGCCAGATAGTAGTGCAGAGGTCAAATGCGATGCTCTGCAAGGCAACCCCACGTGACAAGGTTCCCAATTCAAGTCTGGAGACCTCCCTCAGTACACTGGGGCTGGCTGAGATAATCAGGGGTTGGATAGTGGTGTCAAGATCCTGTTGGGAGTGCTCCCTCTCTCTCTTTCTCTCTTTCCC